AGCAGTTTTAGGCAATTAAACTTGATGAAAGTGAGTGTTTCTGTTTTCCTTCAAATATTTAACAAATTAAATAATATTTGACAATACCATAAAAGTCTCATCAAATTTCATAAAGCACAACAACTCAACACTATATGGAATAGACATACTAAGCAATTCATCTTTATTTTGCTAATAAAGTACTTAAATGTATAAATCAAAAAACGTTTGAAGATTTTTATCTATATGCCTAACTTTGGATGATTTTAGTTGTTGATGGACGAGAAAATATTTTAGATTACGTAAACCTTAATACATTTAAATCTTTAAAAGGTGAATTTTACAGATTTTTATATTGGAAAATTGACTTTATTCATTACTCATGAATTTCTTATTCTCTTGTTTAATTTACTCTAAATCATGAATCGTATAAAAATAGAAGTCTTAGATTTTAGTCAAGTAATTGAAAAAGAATTATATTATTGTCATTTATTGTCTTTGTTTAGCTACTTTAGATACTTAAAGAGTACTAGTTTATTGATTAATGAAATTTATTTCTCTTTTCTATAATTTTATTTTATCATTAATTGGGATATTACCTCTTGTGCATCCAAGGGTGTGAAATAAACCTTCAAGAAGAAAGATTTCTAATTGTAGATTTTAATTTATGCACCATTCTCAACACAATTTTAAAAAAAAAAAATGTTAGTTGCATTCTTTCTTTGTCACGTTCCAATTTTTATGAGGAAGAGTCTAGTACTGACATTTATAATATCTATTTTTTTATTCCGAAGGTCAAAATTAAATTTTGGAAGCTTGGGATTACGATTTGGGGTGATTAAAAATGAATTTTTAGAGATTTATTCATTCGGTATGATTCTAACCAAGAGTTGGAAGTACGAATAAGTGTGTATCTATTGGTTTGATTTGGTCTGATTTATTAGTTTTTAAATATGCTAAATCAATAATTAAATCAACAAGCTATTTGTTACCGATTTTTTATTTATCGGTGTTTGGTCTTTAAAAATTTGATTGTCAGTTTAACCAATAAAGAATGCTTTCAAAAAAATTATATGACTTGTCCAACAATTTGGTCGCAAGAGAAATCAAATTACTCATTGAGTGCAAAAATTATGCTTAGTTTAGTAAAATTATAATAAATACTCACAATTCACAACCCTAGCCGTTTTTTAACCCTTGTCGTTGTCATTGCATACCCTACCCATCATTGTTCTTAGTTCTTTTGGTTTTGATGTTAAGAACCTAAACACTAAGTTATGCCAAAATCTAAAAGGTAAATGCAGAGAGCAGAGTTTAACAGTGTTAATTGTGTAGGATCCTTATAGTTATAGGGTGTGAAAAGATTGTTTAGTGTTTCATTTATGAATGAAAAATGCTTTTGAGAAAATATCTTTTAGTTTTACAAGAGTAGAAAATAATTTTTGAAATTGAAAATATTTTTTAAAAACAAACTAAAATTATTTTGGGGGTGGGGTGGGGGGCTAGATGGGGGTCGAGGAAGGTGTGAAAAAATAAAATATTGAAGTTAAAAATAATTTTTAAAATAAACTTAATTTTTTAGGGGTGGGGGTGGGGCTGGTAGAGGGGTCGAGGGTAGAGGTAAAAAAATAAAATTTGAAGTTGAAAATATTTTTTAAAAACAAACTTATTTTTTTGGGGGTGGAGTCGGGGGCAGGGTCGAGTGTAGGGGTGAAAAATAAAAATTTGAAGTAGAAAATACTTTTTACAAACAAACCTTTTTTTAGGGAGGTGGGGGATGATAGGGCGTTGAGGGTATGGGGTAAAAAAAATAAAAAAAATTAAAAATATCTTTTAAAAATAACTTTTATTTTATTTTATTTTCTGGGGAGGGGGGGGGAGGGATGGTAGGGGTCTGAGCGGTAGAGGTGAGGGTGGGGTGAAAAGATACATTGAAGTTAAAAATATTTTTGAAAAACAAGCTTTAAATTTTCTTTTTGTATTTTGGGGTAGAGACAAAATAAATTATTCAACAAAAAAATTGTAATTTGAAGTTGGAGGAGAGTTTTGGAAAATGTTTTCCTTAATTTTTGAAGGCAAGTCATTTTCCTTAAATTTGAGTAAAAATGAGATGATTTGGTAAACATTTAACCCAACCAAACATGTGAAAATTAGAAAATATTTTTCAAAAAATCTTTCCTTCATACCAAACACAACGTAGTCTAATATAGTGATTATATTAATATTTTTTGTTTGATAATTATGTATGACTAAAAATTAAAATAGAAAATTATTTTATTTTTGGGTTCTTGTTTAACCCATTAACCCAACCCAATAATTTTTTTTATAAAATCATCAAATAAGTGTTAACCCAATAATAATAAACCAATAACATTTTTTGTCACGTCCTGAGCCTACACCATGAACATGGCCGGCACACAATAATTATTGTTGTCTTTGAGCGAACCCTTGGTCTGGCCTACTTAACTCAGCGACAGACTTAACTCAATATAAGAATCATTCTCATAAAAATAACTTCAAATAGATATCTGGACCAAAATGGCACTTAAGTCTCACAATAAAATATCGAAATGCAATTAAAGAGAGACTTAATACTTAAATTGTCTACCTGACTATCAAGCCTCTATAATACTAAGAGGAAGTTCAGACAGACCCCCCGACATCCTATAAGTAAAGACTGGATCCAGAATGCAAGGAGGCTCACCATTGACTCTGAGTAATCAAACTGGATCAACGAGGCACTGGATGTTGATCCTGCTTACCTGCGTCTGCATCATAAGAAGATGCAGACCAACTAGCACCAGTACATTGAATGTACGAGTATACGAATTGGAATGCTAAACAACACTTAAGCTCGAAAAGAATATGAAAAAAACATTTACCCTGACTCTGCTCAACTCATGAAATATTAAACTTAATATAAAGCTATAATGACACATGCAATATATAAAATAGAAAAAAAAAACTGTAAAACAGTGTAAACAACTTAGTTCGTTAAAGAAAATGCAATAACAAACTCGATTTTACTTATATATGAAAGTAATATAGTTTCTGTGGGAGATTGTTTAACCGACTACCACCACTATGTGCCTAAGTGATGATATAACATCTTGCCCACGCTGCAAAGGCATCGCATAGAACTCCTTAACTTCGCGGATCCACTATCTTAACTTACGTAATTATTTAAAAAGTATGACCCGCTAATACTCATGGTTACATGGTTTTCATGAAGACTTGAGTTATTATGAACTCTCATCCCAGATTGGTGCTCAATACTACTCTCAAAACATACTTTAGTTCATGCTTTTAAAATAACTTCCTTTCTTTGGGTTGAGATAATTGTTCAACACTTGGCTTTAAAAAGCTCTCTTGGAATCAGTGTTCCATTTTCTTGTGGGAAATCTTAGTTTCCTCTTAACTTCAATATGAAAACATTTATGAACTTTTAGGGAATACTTAGTTCCCTTATAACCTTTGAGAAATGAACTCAACTTTTCTCTTTGCTTAACTTGAAACTTTTGATCTTAAGTCAACTCGTAGAGAATACTTAATCCCCTTATATTTCTTGAAGAAAAGACTTCAACTTTTTACTCTGCACTTTAACTTGAACTTGAGCTTTAAAACGAAGTTGAAACGTTTAATAAAGACTCTTGAAAACTTTTAAAACTTTGTTTTGACTTACTTCATAGCTTTAGACTTGACGCTTAACTTCTTTGACTTTAATCTTAACTTTCCTTGAATTTGATTATGTGTTCAAGGTTATGATTTGTGTTCTTTGATTATTTCTAGGTATTTAGGATTCATTTGAAGTAATTAGAATCATTGGAAGGTGTTAATGTACCTTAGAAGGACTTAAAAAGACTAAATTACGAAAACTGGGCGAAAAACACCGATTTGGACGCGTTCGGGGCTAGACCAGTTGAATTGAGGCACATTTCTAGTGCACTGCGGGCGCGCCGCCCTAGGTCTCCTGGCACATATGGGGCGCGTCGTGCCTGGTGCTACCTAGATGCGCCTGAACGTCTTTCTTCTCTCATTTTCTAATCCTAAATCCCCTAAACCTCCATAGTCTTATTCCCAAATCCTTATGATAATCAATACCTTCAATACCCAGTAGATGTAACTTGAAAAACAACTTGGAATTTACGAATCAATATCAATGGGCATTCAAACAACTCAACCAATAAGGATTCGACAAGATTCATCAAGAATCCACTTCTAATCATGTAACAATTCTAAAACCACTAAATTGAAACAAGTATGGTGTGTGGATGAAATGACCCAACAAGGAAGATCTCAGATACCTCAATAGGGATCACTCCCAACGAGTCTACTCGAAATTCCTTGGCGTCTTGGCGAAACCTTGATCTTTCTCCTTCTCCTTCTCCTTCTCCTTCTCCTTCTTTTCTCTTCTCTTTTCTCCAAGCCCTAAGCATAAAGTTAATATTCTAATTTGAACTAAAACTGATTTTTTACCCCAAACAGATCCCTAAAACGAACAAAATAGGAAATAAATAGGTGACTAGTTTACCCTTCCTTAAATCCGGATTGGGACTTTCCTCAATCCGACGTCCTACTTCCAATAGGCATATCTCCCTCATACATATCGAAAATGCACAAACACAGCGGTGTTGAAAAGATCTCTCCAAGGGCTTTCTAACCGTATCAAGAACTACCTCTAACTCATCCGAAGCTAGAATTTATGACCGTTTGAAAATGATCAAAACTCACTTCTTAAACTTAAAAAATTTTCTTTTCTTTCCAATAAAATATTTTTAGTTTCTTAGCTTATTTCTAGCTAATTCAAATTTGTGAGATGTTACACTTTTTATATTCAATTTATCGATTCTATTTTGTACACCCCTAAAAATACCCACTTATTCTATAAGTTGGTTAAGATGAAGCTCCATACCTCTTTGGTCCTTAAATCGGATGATGCTTACAAGTAATTTATCATCGACTGTTGTAGATACATGCTAAACAAAAATAAATTTTTAATTTATAAAAAAAAATTGTCCATATTTACTAATATTTTTACATTCACCCATGTTGGGACAACATGATAACTGGATATATCTGTTTGATTGCCTGAGATGGACATGAATTTAAACCTTCAACGAGAACTTTACTGTATCTTCAGAACAGAGACATAATACAACATATATCGGATCGATCCGAAAAATTACAGCAATGTATATATGATTTTTCTTTCCCTCCTTGACTAATTACAAACCGTCCTACATTGTCATGTTCATCACTATTTTTACTTAATTCTGTTCAGTGGAATTCTTTCACTTTGTCGCGCAACTCTTGCCACATGAGAGATCCTTTGAGGCATGGTCATTCCTCCGGAAACAATGATCTCTGCATTTTTTTTGGCTTCACTGTTAGAAACACTTGAAAACAGTTCTGTAGACATGCCCGAAATTCATTTGATGCATTTGGAGATAGATCTTACCATGGATAAGCTTATGTTGGTTAGTTTTAGAAAGTTGGATAACTCAGTAAACTAAAGACACCATCAACTAAGATGCATGCTTCAACCAGTCAACCGAGCTACTAGTACAAAACAAGGAGTGACATATTAAAGACGAGTTACCAGAAAACCAGAGACATACCAATGCCTTCACGGATGGACATGTTTGGTTTTATGACATCATTGGCGTTAACCAGGAGTACATCACCAATGTACAAATGGTTTGTAGGGACAAAAACACTATACAATTCTTCATCCCCTTCTTCTGTCTGCCATCCAGAAATAATGTGTCAATGTACATATATCAGCCAACAATATTATTAAATGCTCTTTTCTGTGTTCTATTATTGTTGTTCTTTCTACTTCTCGTCTTTCATCTCTATCAAGTCACCGGAGAGAATATGAGGAGCTTATCTTTGAAAAATGTCAGTAGTTCAAGAAAGAACTTATGCACATCAAAAGAACATTCAGCACTGCACAGCAGCAAAAGAAAATATGCATTTCTGAAAATAATAAGAAGGATGGTTTTTTCCCTATTGCAGTAATAAGGGAAAACTTGCTACAGCGAACAAATACCTGAAGGGTAACTGATGATGTTATAAAACCAAAAGCATATTCCCCCACACGGGGATGACGAATAATTGCCACTTCCTTAAAAGCGGTGGTGTTTTGATCTGTAGATTATATACGAATAAAAGTAAGTATCAAGAACAAGTAAAAAGAGAATACAGCAAAACCAAAATACTCCAGGTAGCAACCTCAACTCTCAAAATAAAGTACTTATTTCTTTATCTTCGAGACACAATTTTGATGTATTGTCTGTCTTATGGTCCTGATCCCCATGCTTTTTGACACCCTTTATTATTTAAATGGAAGTCCAGGACATCAATGAAAGTTTATTTCAGATTTCACATGTTTACTTCACAGCTCTGAGATTTGTTACACTCCACTGCTAGAGATTATCCTTACTTTTTCTTTCTTTTGCTATCCACCCTTTTCTTGATGAAAGGAACAGGTGATAGTAACATAATATTCTGTAAACTATTATGAAATAACCCCATTCACCCCACCCCCCACCCCCACCCCATCCCACACACGGTCTCCTTGTTTCTTCTCCTTTCCCATTTCCATCTCAGGATGATAGTAGCAAGAAATGGATCCAGAAGTGAATTAGATAAGTGCACCACTCCTTGCCTTGCCTTTCCCCTTAACAAATGGAAGGTAAGTCTCATTTCATCATTGTGCTCTTCAGAAGAAGAAAAATGTAACTTTACCTGGAGACACTGCAGAACTGATCTGCTTTGAAGCCGAATATAAGTGTCTGACAAATGGCATTCGTTTAATAATCCATTCCCCAATCCAAAAAACAGTAGCACCCAGCCAGGATGAAACAAAAACTCCAACTAAGAATACAAAAACAAGAGATGTGACAAATCCTAGTCCTGCACCAACAACAAATGTCCGAAAGATCAGGATATATGGGGAATATACAATAGATAACAACTTTTAATACAGATCGGAAGGTGGACAACACATAAATCATGCATGGAACATGAGATTTATCAATCATGCATGAAACATAGAAAGATAACACAAAACATAATGGACAGTCAAAAACCAGCTGAAGTTCTACACTTAATGAATATTAGATATTTGATCATGTAGAATAGACATCAATGGCTTCCGCACACGTGAGAGGCATTTACAACTCAGGAAAAGAGAAGTGTATTATTACATATACACTGATATCAACATCACATTTATAAGAGCAAAGCAATTCATACGAGTTAGTCAGAGAAGGCTAAACCCTAAACACAATGTTAAAAGAAGCAAGCACAATTAATGGCTATTTTTCTAGTTATTTGTAGTTATGCCAGGTCAACCACGAGCATCTTAGACTTATATGGCTGGACATAGTTGGTTGTAATTTTGTATGCTGAAAGCAATATCCTTTTTGAAGCCCCTGACTGAAATCTTCAGATACCAGAAACAAAATTGTACTTCCATCATGAAGACAAGACAAGAAAATATAATCACCAAAACTTATTCTTTCTCATAATGCTCCGACTCTTCACTACAGTAAGTAAAGAAAGTTTATAATGCATTTCATTACTTTTCTCCTCAACATGTAAAGTAACTTTTTACATGTTCACAAAGAGATATATGCAGCTGATAAGCTCAATTTTAAAGAACAATTTGCAATATTATTTGGTGAAGTTGCAGTGATGCAGGATAATGAAATATCTGAAAATGAAAATACGAGGTGAGCCTTGAATATGCAGGGTATTGAACTACTAAGTATCAAGAAGCAGGATAAACCAATACAGGAAACTAACTGCAGCTATCAAAATGTAGGAAAATTGGACTTACCAAATATGTCAATGCCAAGTTGTTCATATAGTGGACTGAAGAAACCATCAACAAACTGAATAAACCACCATGTCACAAAGAATGTAACCGCCACAGGGAAGAGAACCACACTGCAATTTCAAATTTTGGAGTTGTTACGGATTCAAAGTTAGCCAAAACCTATTAAAATTGGTAACGCAACATAGATATAAGAAATTACCATCCAGTCATAAACTTCTTAGATACCCAACTTTGAAGAAAATAACAGCAAGCCTGAAAAAGAGGTATGAAAAACAATTAAGATATATACAAGTAAACTGCCTACAGGAATATGTATAGAGAGGAATGCTTAAATATAGAGGAGTGCTTAAATATGTCCTTTTCTCATAGGAGCTTCTCTATACATGCACAAAAAACAAAGTAAATTCCAGACTGAATATATTGGAGTACAATTGGCATTAAAAGGACTCGAGATTGAATATACAGCTCAGGTGTCTATCAAACAGTTCCCCTCTAGAGAACCTGGATTTTCTAAATTATTTGTTCTCATGTGTCAACTTGTTTTCCAATTTGAAGATTCTTTTCGTATAAGTATATGTAGAATATATATTAGTACATTGGGTCGGAAAAGGACAAGTAAATATACTGTTTTACTCCCCAAAGAACCTGGATTTTCTTAAATCATTTATTCTGACTTGGACCACTTCTTTACTAGTTTGAACTTCTTTTTCGGATTCAAGTTTTGTTGAACGGTCTTTAAAACTCTTCATCTCTTTTTAAAAACTTGTTCAAATAACTTTCTTCCAATATAAAATCAAACAGATTTAGGTAGCTTATTTTGCTTAGACTCTCCAAAAATGTTGCGCAACCGTGTCGGATCCTCAAAAAAAGCACTGAAATTTGAAGGATTTGAAAAGTTCGAGCAACATAGTTAATCACAATAATATCTCTCTATCACATCAATTTGAAAACCAAAACGCAAGAATGTATGTTAGCATAGGCTGATGCTAAATTAATAAGTTTGACCCCAACCCAAATTACCAACTACATCCCATAAGTAGATAAGATGCACAAAATCTATTGACCTTTTTCTTTTACAAGGATACACAAAATCTATGACCTTTTTTTTCTTATAAGGATGCACAAAATCTGTGACTTTGATCATATCAAAATTAACCCATCATTCAGATTATTAGAATGTACCTTCTTTTTTGTGCATAAATTGACTCTAACTATTTGATAACTCCCAACCCAAGTGAAAGAAATACAAACCACATTGTACATGAGCAGGTATATAAGACGAAAAAACATCAAAACCTCATTTTAAGAATCAATTGTGTCTACTTCAAAACCAATATTCTCCGCACACTTAGCATAGATTTTGGATCAGATTTTGACAATTTATCCCCAAATATCTATTTGGCCATGAAATTCTTATCTTTCAAATATTTGCAATTGGTAGAAATTAAGAAATTTCACTTCCACTCACAAAAATCCTATTTTTTCCCAAGTAAAATGCAAGTCCAAACACAACTTTAACAACTCAATTTTTCAAGCTTCAACTTCAAAAACTATGGAAACGAGAAATGCATTTATTCGAATTGGTAATTCATAAATTGTAAATATATACACTACCCTTTGAACCCAAAAAAGAAAATATCGAAAACTCAATACTTTTCAACAAGTTTGTCCATGTCCTGCGGCAAACACAACTATCCATTTCCCCATTTTCGCCATTCTTTCCAATCCCTTCTCCATTTCCCATATTTTCAAAATCAAGAAAATACACTTCCTGTACCAAACACAAAAACCCATCTCCCCTTTTCTTCATAATCTCTGTTAGCTTCAAGGATAAGAGTAAATTTCCTCTAAAACCTCAAAAAATCAGACAGCTTTTAGAAAGAAAAACTGACCTTGCGGGTAGAAGAATTGGGTGAAGCAGGAGTAGATTTGATGGGGTCTTCAGGATCTTCAGAAGCTTGACTTAGTGGTATAGAAGTGGGATCCTTCTCTTCCGCCATTTTTGCTTTTTAGTTTTAGGGCTTTGTCTCTAGATCTCAGCAAGAAATAGAGAAGACTTGCAAAAACAACACAGAGACAGCTGAGATGATATTATTGTGAAGAAGAGACTTGTAAGGTAAGGTGCCCACCTATTTTTCCCCTTCGTAAACTTAGAAATGAAGTGAGAAAAAAAAAACGCTTTCGTTTCGTTATAAATTTTGAAAATTTTTTGAATCGAAATTGTACTTAAACATAGAATTTATCAAAAAAAATATAATGAATCTTAAAAAACTAAAAATTGAACTAATCTATTTAAACAAATTTAAAATTTATAATCAACAAATATTTATGAATAAATTTTTTAAAATTAATTTATAATCAATGATCAAAAGCTAGTCAAATATACTCTATTTATTTGGATTGAACTAGTATCGATTTTTAAAACTTAAAATGTGAAGAAATATTTTAAAATTTTTAACTAAAATGTATAATCAAAACGATATTATGACTTATTCTTTAATATTGATTCCAACTCTATGATTAAAGCTAGTTAAGTGCACTACACTTCATTTATTTATAGAGTTCTGGTAGTTTGAACATGCAAAGTCAATTTCAATAATAAATATAATGTTGAGAGAGTTTTAAATTTTATTTATTTAAGAAAAAAAATAGAAATTAGGCTGTAAATTTCAGCCAAAAAAAACCAATAATTGGCATAGGGGGGCAAAGGGAATTTAGGTAGCTTGTGGGGAATATGGGACACAAAAAAAAAAAATCAAACACCTTATTATTCAACATCAAATAAGTAATAGTAATTGATTATCATTTTTTTTAATCTTTAATTACTCATTTAATTATAATAAATTTAATATAAATATTAAAGATGAATAAGCTTTTATTTAAAATAATGATACGCAATAATATGATGAGGGGCTATCAAGGTAGTGAGGAGGGCAAGGGAATATCGCCACCTTGAATGTATAAGACTTTGAGTAATGCAAAATTTGATGTGTACCTTTTATAACATATGAAAATGATCTTGTGATATAAAAAAATATTCATACAAGCTAATATGACTATATTATCTAAATTTCTTGATAATAAATGTATCACTTTTGTTGTGTTTCTCCAAAGAGAGAAATGATCTTGTAGTATGTAAGATGATAAGGTAAAAAGCCATGATTGAAAAAAATAATTTATCCAAGAATATATATTACTTTCCTATAAATTTTGAACGATGACACTAATTAGTAGGAGAAAATATAGATTATGCAAGTTGATGGCATCGTAAAATTTGAACACATTCCAATTTTACAAATTCCATTCTATTTTGACTAAGTTCTTTTTTAAGTAAAAAAAATTCATGTATTTATGTTCTTATCACATAGCAAAAAAAAAAATTGTACTTTGAGTCGTATCATCTCAAATTTATGATCCTCAAATTGTTGGCTTTTACATATTTCATTGTGCTACATCACTTGAGGTGTCTAAAATTATTAGGCTACATTTGCTTGTTATATAAAGAGTGTCTAAAATATGTAATTCAAACTCTTCTTATATCATTTTACTTGTATATTCGGTATTTGTTTTCAACAAAGGGTGTCCAATTGGATACCTTGAGTAGCTCCGCCACTAAGCTCATACTGGTTGATTTTCAACTCAAAACATTTGCTACCATATTTCATTAGGACAATTTCAAATATATACGACAAACTAATTAGTTTACAATAAATATAGCAAATTTTATTTGTATAAGATAAAAAAAATGGGTTAATTACATGGGTGGATTCCTTTTTAAAAATAATTACTTATTTTAAATTTATTTTTTAATTATTACCATTTATAACAGCTTTTAAATTTCTTTCTTTTCTCTGACTCGCACTTTCTCCTTTCTTTCTTTCTTTCTCTTTTTCTCCGTCTCTTTCTATCTTTCTCTTCCTTTAATCCTTTTTCCTTTCTTTCAGTTGTCCTATTTTTCTTGCTTTCTTTTTTGTTGCTCTTTCTCTCTCTTTTTCTATTGCTCTGTTTTCCTTTGTTTTCATAGTATAGTCAACGATTTCATACAAACTTATATCAATAGTGAATTAGATAAGTAATATAATCGTAACAAATTAAGAGGCATAAAAAATTACAAAATGAATTAAATTTTAATTAAAAATGTATTACAAATATATTAAAGTTGAATTATTAGAAGAGAAGTAATATAGTCGTAGCAAATGAAGAGACATGAATTAAACTTGAATTAAAAATGTATTTCAAACATATTAGAGTTGAATTATTAAAACATAATTAGATATGAATGTAGAATGTTGAAAACAAAAGAGCATTCTTTGATCTGCATGTAACTGAATAAAACGTCTATCAATAATGAATTAAACAAGTAACTCAATTGTAACAAATCAATTACTTAGTTGCAAAATGAATTAAATTTGTATTTAAAAGTGTACTACACAAATATTAAAGTTGAGACAAAAGAGAAAATTAAACATAAATAAAGAAAATGTAACAAATGAAATATCAGACAATGATTTATGTGAATTAAACTTGTATCAATAATGAATTAAACAAATATCCAATAATAACAATAAATAAATAAAAACTGCAAAATGATTAAATTTGCATTAAAATTGTATTACTTTTGAATAAGAAGAGAGAATTACGAATGAATGGAAAGACTAACAAGACAATGATCTTTAAAGTGAATTAAACTTGTATCAATAATGAATTAAACAAGTATCCAATAGTAACAAATAAATCAAAAAACTATAAAATGAATTAAATTTGCATTAAAATTATATTACACAGTATTAAAGTTGAATTAGAAGAGAGAATTAAGAACGAATAGAAAACGTCACTAACGAAAGACATGACAATGATCTATAGAATGATAAGTTATATCAATGATGAATTAAACAAGTTAAGTATCCAATAGTAACAAATAAATCAAAAACTTCAAAATGAATTAAATTTGCATTGATATTATATTATCTAATTCAACTTTAGTACAATTTTAATATTATATTTAATTTATTTCAATCTAATATTTCACCTAAAATCAATTATAAACTTAACCGAACTCTCTTAAAATTGATACATAAACTCCAAACGACATTTTCAATTATTTGTAGGAACTACCTATTCAAACTTATCACAAATTCGTAAAATTCATATAATAAGTTTAAATTTTGAAGCTTTATAATGACCATCAATGGTGAACTCTTACTTCTATAATTTTAAAGATTTGAATTTTTTGCTCAAAAACGTGATTTTATATAATTTCAATTACTTTTTCCTCTTTTCATCTTGTTTTTAGATAAAAATAGTGACATGGGCAAAAACTAATTAGAAGAATATAGTTATTTAGATGAAAAGTTCAAAGAAGAAGAACAAGAACAAGAATTAAAAAAAAAGAAGAAGAAGAGGAAGATATCAAAATAAATAGAAGAGTAAAAACAACAGAAAGAGATGAAGGTGCGGAGAGTAAAAAGAAAGAAAGACGAAGTCGAAGAAGTAGAAGAATTAAAAGAAGAAAAGGCAAAAGGGTTGCGAAAGAAGCGAATATTGTATAATTTTCTTAATTAAAAAAATATTATATTTAGTCAGAAAAATTATGTTGTTATAAATGGTAAATATTTTTATAATATAACATACTTTTGTGATTTACCCATTAAAAATAGCTCTCAGTCATAAAAAGTATCTAATTATATTTTATGGCTTGTCAAAAGTCATAGAAAATATACACTTACTATATAAAATAGCATACATATACATCATGAGCTATACACTGACTAATATTGGTACACTCAAAAAAACTAAGATATGGTTTAACTATACATAAAACATACATTTAGTATACATGAAAACACACATTGACTATTTAACCTCAATCAACTTGAAATCACCTATAAACATTCTTAAATGTTAGATATGAAATTCTCTCGATGTATCGAGTCTTTTAATGTTTAATTCGTTTTAAACTATTCACATTTTTGTTAATTCAATTTTTATTATTTTTATTTTTCAAAAAAAAGACAAATAAGACTCATAAAGACGAAGAAGATAATTTGATCAAAATCACCTCTAAACGGTTTCATATTTTAGATATGAAAATCTTCTCAATATTTTAAATTGATATATAATTTTCTCAAAACAATGCATGTTTTAGATACATCAATTTTTATTGTATTTTATTTTTTTAAAAAAAGAAGAGAAGACGGAGATGAAAAGAAAATGACAAAGGAAGCCGTTAATACTGAAGGAGGAAGAAAAAAGAAAGTATTTAAGCCAATTTCATTATTTTTTTAGTAATTGGTTCAATTTTTTGTAAAAGTAAAAGTCTCAAATCTGAATGACCAGTTTGCGTAATTGTCTTATTTTAATGGGAAAATAGTCAAAAATATCCTTCAACTTTGTTTAATTGATTGATTATACCCTTGTCGTTAAAAAGAAGTTATTTTCACCCCTGCCGTTACTAATCTCATCATTTATATCCCTCAATTGGATGAAAATCTTAAATTTGACTTAAATAACCCAATTTCAGTTGAAATTACCTAATTTTATATTTTAACCCTAATCTCTTTCTCTTTCCCTCTCACATATGATAAAAAACTTAGAGTAGCATCAATTGCAAGTCATGTAGAATAAGAATATATTCTTTCAAGTCTGATGTTTTTTATCTCGAATGTCGTTGAAGAGTTGCACTTCATGAATGTGGATTTGGTTGAGTATAAACGTTGAAAGGAATAGAACAAATTTTGAAGATCCATCAATGCCATTGATGTAATCTTGGGTTTATATTATTCAATATATCAAAATTGTTGAGGATGAATTAATATGTTTATTTAGTCTTATAAACAGTAATCTCTTGAAAAATATTTTGGCCGAATGTTTCAAAATATTTTTCAATTAAATAAATATGTCTTTATGAGCTGGATTGAATCTGATGAAATTTATGCACTTTATCTCATCATGGTTTACCATAAATATCTCTATTTATTTAATTTATTATATACTCATTTATAAAAAAAATATATAATTTTTTCGTTTTATATTAGTTGATCATTTTTCTTTTTACGTACATATATTAAGAAATCATAGATTTTTATTTCTTTATTTTTATTACGAAAAAGGGCCTAAAATGCCCTTAAAATATTGAAAATAGTACAAAATTACCCTTCATCCACCTATTGACTCCAAAATGCCCTTTTCATCCACTTATTGGCTCCAAAATACCATTGTCATCTACCTTTAAGTTCAAAATTGACCACTTATTTAATGATTTTAAATTTAAACTATTTAAATATTTTTTAAAATACTTGATGCTCAACTATTTGTTATAATTTATTTGTATCATTTATAAACCAACTCACTACCCACTCATTACTAACTAAACCCTACCTAATTAATAATCGAGCTATTATATCAAAATCGTCATAAACACTACTAAAACACGATGAAATTATAGATTTCTGAAAATGACATCCAAAATTATTCAAGTCCGAATCAAAGCCCCAATTAAATTTATGTTGAGCCGCTTATTTAGGAGCACACTTTCAATAGGATTCTCTTTCAAGATTAAATTTAAAATTTATGATTAAATGTAAAGAGTTAATATATCCCGAATCAATTCATGCACTTTTTTAAAATATACTTTTATAAATATTTATGATTAAAGGTAAAGAGTTAATATATCCCGAATCAATTCATGCACTTTTTTAAAATATACTTTTATAAATATTTATGATTTGTTTTAAAACCTTTAATATATTATTTTGGAAAAAAAATTACCTATAAAGTAACATCACATAATTGAGACGTAAGAATAATAAAGATGAACATAGTCAAACTTTTTAAATTTGTCATTAATTTTTATTTAGACACTTGAATGTATGATAATTTACTTCTATAGATATTTTCGTCTCAAATTTGTAAGAACAATCAATTGACAGTAGCTTTTCTGTTGTTGCATTAATAATGTGAAGGATTTATTAATTTGGTGGGTTTAATTAGTAATGGGTGGATAGTGTATTGATTTATAAATTATACTAATAAGTTAAATTATAACAATAGTTGAGCGCCACGTATTTAAAAAATTATTTAAATAGTTTAAATATAAAACCGTTAAATAAGTGGTTAATGGTATTTTGGACCCAATAGGTGGGTGAGAAGGGTATTTTGGAGCCAATAGGTGGATGGAGGATAATTTTGTACCATTTCTAATACTTTGAGGGTATTTTAGGCCCTTTTTCATTTTTACTATTTAGTGATTTATACAAATAAAAAATCATTACTCTCTCCATTCTCACATGTGTGATCACTTCTGTTTTTACGCGTATATATTAAGAAATCATAAATAAATGGATAGTTTTACCAATTCACCCTTTAAGAACTTTTTTGAAATTTCACAACAAGGGTGAATACTTTAAAAATGAATAAAGATGATTGAGGTAATATTAATTAATGTTTTTTTATTTTAGTAAGATGATCCATTAATATGTGATAATTATTTTTTGTATAGTGATCAAATTATACGAGACAATAGGAATAATTTATGATTATATAGTGCTGATTATACCAATAAAAATTGCTATAACATTGTGATGATTTGATTATCAATAAATTGGAGTTTTTCATATCAACTTTTATGTTTCATCTTTTTAATCATCAATTTGTAGCATAATTTCTTTTAGCAATTTCTTTGAATAGGTCTTAGGATCGTAACCTATTTTCCTCTCTTTTGTTGCATTATTCATTATAAGAATATTTACCAAGTAATGCCACTATTATTTTATAATATATTTAATTTTTTAGTTTAATCACGCGAATGCGGACAAGTACACTAGTTATCCAATATATACAAACTATTCACATGGTTTTTGTGGTTGTTTGGTACGAGAGATTAAGAATAATTAGTTTTAAGATTGATTTTAGAGTTAAATTATTTTAGTTTAGTTGTGATAAAATTAAAAAACAACTTTATCACTTAGTTAGTAGGATAATTAATTTCAAAATAACTGGTTAAGCAGGTGGGTCCCACGTTCAGCTTTTCCTATACGCTTTCCTCCCTCCATATTATCTTCACCCCTCACTCTTCCTAATTGGCGGGAATTTTTCGAAAATCCCAAAAATTGAAACCCTAATTTGCGCCAAACATATTGAAATTCTTAATTATTCTATATAATCACTTCACTACGAGGCCAAAAAAGCATATCAACGAAATTCCTCAAAAGAAATTTCGTTGAAAAGATGTATGTGGTGAAGAGAGATGGGCGTCAGGAAACTGTTCACTTTGATAAGATTACTGCTAGGCTTAAGAAATTGAGTTATGGGCTTAGTACGGATCATTGTGATCCAGTTCTTGTTTCTCAGAAGGTTTGTGCTGGTGTTTACAAGGGTGTAACTACTAGTCAGCTTGATGAATTGGCTGCGGAAACTGCTGCTGCTATGACTGCTAATCATCCTGATTATGCATGTGTAAGTTGCTCCATTTTGAATTATTTGGTTTGACATGCTTATCATGTTTTTGTTTGGAGGTTGGATTTTGGATTTGAACTATGTGGGTTCAATATTAAGGTTTTTAGCATTGTATTTTTTGAAGTTATGGGTTCATATTACTGTACTTTTAATGAGTTCTACGCATAAATTTGTGATCTGTGGAAAGTATGGGTCTGGTTTTATATGTGGTTTTTTTTCATAATTGCATCTAGGTTGGTTTTGATTGTATTGATGTTCAGAAATGCTGCTGAAATTAGCATTTTTTACACGTAGATTTATGCTCTGTGTCGCAAGTTATGGGTCTGGCCTTATCTGTTTTTTTTAGTTGTAATTGCTTCTGGGTTCGTTTTGATTGTGTTGATCTTTAGTAATGCTGCTGAATTGTAGCATTTGTTCAAGTTTGTGAAATTTTGTGTGTCTGGATTTATTTGTTTTTTTAATTGTTTTCAAGTCAAACGTCTTTAGTGGTTGTGCTTATATTTGAAAACGGAATGTTGGTTTGGAAATTGAAATTTTGGGTTCAGTTTTTGCTTGTGTTTTGATAAAGCTGATTGTTACATCTCTTTTAATTTTGTTGGAATTTGTGTTCTTAAGTTCAGATTTTGGCATTCATTTCAGTCACGACATGTTGAATTTAAACATTGTTGTGGATTGCTATTATTGTCCTGTTTTGCTCTTCGCATATTTTTTTTGTTCATTTTTTCAGTTTGATCTCCCATTGGTTTCCTTTCTGTTTCAGTGTTCCCCACAATTTTTGTAATGGTCAACCATGCTATTGTATGTGTATGCTTTCTTATTATAGGTTGGTATGGAATGTATCATATTTGAATTATTGAGCTAGACTAAAATCTTGATTTGATTTATGTAATCAAACAACAAAAACGCAGTAATTAGTTCTAAGAAGAATTTGTTTTTTTTTTTAAAAAATGGTACACATTAAAAAGGAGAATGAAGATATGAGATGACTTGACTGAAAATGAGAAACAGGCAGACAAAAACAGTTTATATCAACTCCTCTACTGTTATAAGGTAGATATATTGAAGCTTCTATAATGCATAGTAGGAAAAGTATCTTTTTAATGATTAATGTGTTAATTAATCTGTGATTTATCGAATCTCTTGGTGCAGCTGGCTGCAAGGATTGCTGTGTCCAACCTGCACAAGAACACCAAGAAATCATTTTCTGAGACGTAAGTGATTTGAATCAACATTGGTCATTAGTCTTTCATGTTCTTTCATTTTTCATATAAATAAAATGTCGGTGTATTGATCAACAATGACAGTGCTGGTTGTAATAATGGAATATCACAGGATTAAGGACATGTACTACCATGTCAGTGAGAGATCTGGATTGAAGGCACCACTTGTTTCTGATGAAGTTTATGAGATAATCATGAAGGTATCATTGCCATTTGGAATATTCCTTTAATTGTTATGTGTCAGATCTTATCTATGTTTTTCTTAATCAAGATCATGTTTAAAGTTCTTGGCCTCTGGGTAAATCAAGAGCTTGTTTATAATTTCCTGTAGAAATACTTATTAACAGCTTGCCTTTTTTCTCTCAGAATGCTGCTCGTCTGGACAGTGAGATCATATACGACAGAGACTTTGACTATGATTACTTTGGTTTCAAAACCCTTGAAAGGTCTTACCTTTTAAAGATTCAGGGAAAGATTGTGGAAAGGCCACAACATATGCTGATGAGAGTATCTGTTGGAATCCACAAAGAGGATATTGAATCTGTCATCAAGACATATCATTTGATGTCTCAACGCTGGTTCACTCATGCATCTCCAACACTATTTAATGCTGGCACTCCAAGGCCTCAAGTAGGTCAACATTCTTTTAATGCTGTGATTTTTTCTTGATTTGATGATTCAACTAAGTCATCATTGATTTGGTCCTGTTTTGAAAATATTTGTTTATTACCCAACAATGTCCTCCTGTTCATTGGCATCTTTTGGTAAAATGTTTCCTGATTTTACATCGTATTCTTTTGGGACTTGCAGTTAAGTAGCTGCTTCCTGATATGCATGAAAGATGATAGCATTGAGGGCATATATGATACTCTTACGGAATGTGCTGTTATTAGCAAATCAGCTGGGGGAATTGGCGTATCTGTGCACAACATACGTGCTACTGGGAGTTATATTCGTGGAACAAACGGAACATCAAATGGGATTGTTCCTATGCTGCGTGTGTTTAATGATACTGCCAGATATGTTGATCAAGGGGGTGGCAAAAGAAAGGGTGTGTCCTCATTTTTGTGCTTGTTTAGATAATTCTAGAAGTTTAGGGTGTAGAGACTACCTTCACTTTTCTCACTCTGTAATGCTGTGTTTAGGCGCTTTTGCTGTCTACCTTGAGCCTTGGCATGCTGATGTATTTGAATTTCTGGATTTAAGAAAAAACCATGGGAAGGTATGGTACTCTTTTTTATCATCAATTGTTTAATATATTGTCTATTGGGCCTGCACCTGCTCTCTGTCACTGCACTAGATTGCTGTACTCCTTTCATATGGCAAAGCTTGTCTGTACTCAGCAATTTGACAAGACATGATGTTTCCTTTTCTTCAGGAAGAGAATCGGGCACGAGATCTTTTCTATGCTCTTTGGGTGCCAGATCTATTTATGCAAAGAGTCCAAAGCAATGGGATATGGTCTTTGTTTTGTCCAAATGAGGCTCCTGGATTGGCAGATTGCTGGGGTGAAGATTTTGAGAAGCTGTACACAAAATATGAAAAAGAGGTAAAAATAAGTGTTCTACTGAGGTTAATTGCACACCATTTATTTGATATATTAAAGATCATTCAGCATTGATCGTTAACAATATTCTTTTGTCAACTCAGGGAAAGGCAAAGAAGGTCGTTCAAGCACAAAATCTCTGGTTTGAGATCTTAAAGTCCCAGATAGAAACTGGGACCCCTTACATGTTGTACAAGGTGATTTTCATGCATTCTGTTATGCTTCTCATTGTTTGTTGTGATGCAGTTAATTTTACTCTACCTTTATCTGTTTGTTATTGTAGGATTCTTGCAATAGAAAAAGCAACCAGCAGAATCTTGGCACTATCAAGTCTTCTAACTTGTGTACAGAGATTATTGAGTACACTAGTCCAACTGAAACTGCTGTTTGCAATCTTGCTTCAATTGCTCTACCTAGATATGTTAGAGAGAAGGTAGTTAACATTGGTATATACTTAAAACTTACTTGTCCTACTTTCTCCTTGCCTCTTAGTGTAGTGTTGCCTTTATATCTTTCAGGGGGTCCCAGGTGAATCACAGCCATCTAAGCTTGTGGGGAGTAGGGGTTCAAAAAATCGATACTTTGATTTTGACAAATTGGCAGAGGTTTGTTTTGTTCTAAATACCAACTTTCTTGAACATGTTTCTCTTGACATTATTCTTAATTTTGCTCTGTTTGCCATGTGAGACAGGTCACTGCATTAGTCACTTCTAACCTGAACAAAATTATTGACGTCAATTACTACCCTGTTGAAACTGCAAAAAGGTCTAACTTACGACATAGGCCTATTGGACTTGGAGTCCAGGGACTTGCAGACACATTCATTTTGCTTGGCATGGCATTTGATTCCCAGGAGGTAAGTTTTGTCTATCATCTTTTCTAGCTGTACATTTGTGCAGATTGTTCTGATCTTATACTTTGTCTATGTATAGGCTCAGCAGCTAAACAAGGACATATTTGAGACAATATACTACCATGCATTAAAAGCTTCTTCTGAATTAGCTGCCAAGGAAGGCCCATACGAGACATATGCAGGAAGTCCTGTAAGCAAGGTATAAATCCTTTCATTCCTAGATTTTACAAATGGGTAATATGTTAATGGGATGTTTGATTTTCCAGTGCATATTGACGATCATCCATGATTTAGTCGAAATGGTTGTTATACTTCTAAGTGTCTAACATAAATAAAATAGCATCTTCTTACTGGTTTGACTTTGAAGATATGATTGCAAGTTTAAAGAGAATTTGAAAATGTTGAGACACAAATTATACACACTACAGTAGAACATGAAATGACTGTCAGATTTTATTTTGATTCACATTGTATTTCCACTAAATACATATTATGCTGCCCAGGGTATTCTCCAGCCAGACATGTGGGGAATTACACCATCTGATAAATGGGATTGGCATGCTCTTCGTGAAATGATTGCAAATAATGGTGTAAGAAATTCACTTCTTGTAGCTCCAATGCCAACTGCTTCAACCAGCCAAATTCTTGGAAATAATGAATGCTTTGAGCCATATACATCTAATATCTACAGCAGAAGGGTTCTGAGGTAACACCTGCTAGCAGATCCTGCAGCTGCTGCTTTTTTTTTTTTTTTTATTATTATCATACTTGCTGCATATGATTTATACATGGTTTATTTTTTATCTCCAGTGGTGAATTTGTTGTGGTGAACAAACATCTTCTGCATGACCTAACCGAGACAGGGCTCTGGTCACCTGCTGTTAAGAATAGGATAATACATGATGATGGTTCTGTGCAGAAAATCCCTGAAATTCCAGATGATCTTAAAGTTATTTATAAGTATGAACTTTCACTAATTACTTGTTCAGTTTTTATATACACTTCATTTCCACTTACATTCTAATACTGTTCACTGACTTCAGGACTGTCTGGGAGATCAAGCAACGGACCCTGGTTGACATGGCTGTAGACCGTGGTTGCTACATAGATCAGAGTCAAAGCCTCAACATCCATATGGATCAACCCAACTTTGGAAAGCTCACTTCCCTTCATTTTCATGCTTGGTCCAGGGTACACTTCAATTTTCACATTATAAGTTTTGTTGATCTTTTGAAGAGTGCATAAGCACTAAGAAATGGTCTGGTATATTGTTACTCAATAGTTTAGTACAAACATCCATTTAAAGAGATCTTTTAGCGACTAGTGAATGTAGTTGTCAGACTACAACAGCATGAACAGATCTTTGTAGGTTCCATCTTCACAGGTCAATTTTGAGTCTGAGTTTCATCTTTCTTGTTATTGTAGGGTTTGAAAACTGGAATGTACTATCTACGATCACGTGCTGCAGCTGATGCAATCAAGTTCACAGTTGACACTTCCATGCTGAAGGTAGTAAGTAGTAACGTTATAATGCTGAGTAACTTATCGTCAATATTATTTTGTTCTTACAAACTGCGCACTGGTATCAATTTGCAGGAAAAACCAAAGACTGCTGTTGACGAAGAAACTAAATTGGCTCAGATGGTGTGCTCTTTTACAAACCGCGAGGACTGTTTATCCTGTGGAAGTTAGTGCTACTATTGCCTACGGGGTAACCTTGTCATAGATAAGCCAAACAGACCTTAGCTTTGTGGAAGATACACGTACTGATGTTCATTTGATTAGAATTAATTATGTATATAATAAATATATATCTGGTTATAGTATAGTATATGTCTTTTTGTATAAACAAGGAACAATATGCAACTCTTTTGTATTGGTTAGTGGTGTCGATGTAATCCATTTTTCCTTGAAGCAATGAATTTCTCTAACAGCAACTTGAATGTGTGTAAAAATATGAAGTTAATCTAGTCAATAATTTATTAGATTAACTAAACGAGTATTCGTTTATGTATCGAAATACATCTAAATCATATGATGTATTTTATGTATCAAATCGAGATAATAGAATTAGACAAATATTTTCGAGGAAATTGCAATAATTGTTGCATTGACACTAAATCCTCCCTCATAGTTAAAACAAACAGCCAAATCTAATTTTGGATTAAGCGCAAGTCAAAAGGAATTTGTTTTAGTGGACAAGTTCCAAACACCTATTAATTTATAGATATACATGCAATAATATTGATTTATCACCCCACCCCGCCCCTAGGATTCGCATAGACTCCTCCGGATGCTGAAGCACCAACTAACCTCGCTCGCCTCTCTTCCAAAAAAACATGTAGCTATAAATTGTAATTATCAAACTATAGCTGTAAAGCGTAATTAATTATTTTAAGTGGCTATATGTGGATCTATTTTATTTTAGATGATATAAAATTTTCATTAATTGAACGTAAAAATGTAAAAATTGAATTGATCGATAAATCGAATAGAAAAAATGTTATTGATTTATTGTTATTGAATTAATATGTATTTAATGATTTTATAAAATTTTTTTTAGAGGGTTACCGATTCGATTTTGATATTTTAATATTGAATAAATCGATAATCCATTAAAACTGTAGTAATTTTTAACTTTATTCCTGCATAAATACCTTACTAATTATTTTTTTTCCCATTGGACTTCAATTTACACTTCACGTTGATTTTGAGTTTACAACTTCATATAATACAAAAAGTAAAGATCTAAGTAAGAATAGTATTTCTTTTTATTTCTTGTGTAAACTTGTATAATTTTTTTTTTTCATGTTAGTTATTATTGTTTCAATTTATGAGCGTTTGTAAAGTTACATTATATTGTCTTGTAGCTTTAAATTGTTGAAGAAGTCATATATTTATTTTGTAATTATTTTCTTATTGGTTAAATAAAAAATCAAATAAAGAATATTTTGTTAATTTAGCTTATTTAAAAATCTAAAGTATATATATTAGATCGATGATACATAAAAATCGAACAAAATATAATTACTGTAAGATAAAAGTGAACACAAAATGAGGAAGAAAATAAAATGTGTTATAAAATCAAGCTCATAATATAATAGAAAGAGAAGAAGATAAGAGAAGTAAGATGGAAGAGAGAACTTTTCTTCTTATTCAAGTGTATATTACAATGGTAAATGATATCTCTATTTATAGGTAGAGAAATCAACCAAAAGGTCATCATGTTTAATGTCACATTAGTAGATGCATTTCCATCCCAAAAAGGTTCATATCACCTTGAGAATATATATCCATGATAAGGATAAGTTTATGATAAACTTTAATTGACAATCCACTTAATTCAATGGATTTATAACACTCCCCCTTGGATGTCCATAGATAATGTGCCTCATAAAACCTTACTAGGAAAAAACTCCCCGTGGAAAAAAATTCTAGTGAAGGAAAAAAAGTACACATATCTTTTGATACACATTATTTGTTGCCTCATTAAAAACCTTGCCAGGAAAACCCAGTGGGACAAAACCTTGGTCAAGGAAAAAAGAGTGCAACACGTATTATTCTCCCCTGATTAAAACATTACTTAATTTCTTGTAATGATGTCTCCAATCTTGTACACAAACTTCTCAAATATTGATATTGACAATGTCTTTGTGATCAAATCACATTCACGAAGATGTTGCATCGTTGAACTCATCTACGAGGCTTTGAGCTTAGCCGAATACATTATTGAATATCATTCTATTCGTCATGACCTCATTGTTGCAAGTAAATTGCACATTAAACTTGTTCACAATAATAATCATCTTGTGGACACATTCATTGACAATTGATTATCTCTGTACATTGTGATTGGTAAATTCTTTTTCAAAGAAAAATTACATATTTCCTGAATATGGTGTGTCATTGATCTCAACCAGACGCACTTTTGACTTGCTTCATGGAAGACTTTTATTTCTGCATGGTTTGAAGAAGTGATCACCTACATTGGCTTCATTGATAGCCAAAACATTATTGTGCCTCCACATGCAAACAAATAGCGTGCTTGAAATAGAGCTTTATGTGGATCAGATAAATATTCTGCATTTGCGTAACCAATAAATTTTGTCTTGAATTCCTCGGAATAGAATAAACCCATAACTATGGTCCTTCGAGGATATTCAATCATGTGCTCAACATCATTTCAATTTATCCGAAACTTAGAAATTTCTTTTGAGACTTACTACAACCCCAATACTATTCTTCTGGTAATAATAAAACTCGTTAGACCTTGAAATTAGTTTTGTGTACTATCACATATTACATGACACCATCCCTACGGTGAGCATCTCCTTCAAGGAAGAAATTATATTATTATTGTCACGGTCAAAATTATTACGAGCAAGACATATTTTTTGCTTTACTTTTGTTGTACCATAGGTACACAACCCATGACAAATTTTTATTGCCCCACAATAATGACCACAACCCTTATAGACAAGAACTATTTCTTTCTTTTGTCCTTTCGGTAGTTCACAATAAACATACCATAATAACATATAAACGTACACGACCATTGACCATTCCTGCCAAATAAATTTATTTATTCCTCTCAAACCTCCCGTAGAGATGAGTTGTGACATATATTCAATCTATAATGATCTTATCACATCTTGACCCATTCTCCAGTAGAATGATCAAGTATTCACGATACTCATCACAAGTCACATTCTCTTCAAGGAATGGACTAATCATTTATATGTACTTCATAAATTTGCATTATAAGTACATTGTCATGATTTTTAAAATTTATCATATTTCCAAGACACACCTCAACATCACTTTGTAAGGTCAAGTGTACCATCACTTTATCTTCTTGTCTTTTGATGGAGGATTTATAAACTTGTCAAATTATTGGGTCGACAACATTCACGAGTCCAATGACCTTTCATATCATTTTGATGATAAAAATTGCCTTCATATTTTGAAGGACTATTTGGAGAACTAATAGTGTTATTCCTTTTATAATTACCACTAGAGGTGTCAAAATGGGTTGACCCAACCCAATCTAATCCAACCCTAACGGGCTAGAGAGTTAAATGGGTTGGGCGAGCCGACCCTTTTAATTAAAGGGTTAATAAAATAGCAACCCAATCCAACCCTAAGCAGGCCATGGGTTGAGACGGGTTGACCCTTCAATCAAAACATGAACAATATTACTCTTTTAGAAAGAGTATCGAATGTTGAGGCCTAGGAACACGACATCAATTCATAAAGAACTCATTTATAAATCACACACCTCGGTGAATACTTACAAAAACACATTTATGAATCACAAACGTTGGTGAATACTTATAAAAATACATAATAGCCAACGTAAGATTTAGAGGATAAATGTTGATCATTCCATTATTTCTCCTACAAAAAAACTAGGTGGTTTAAAAGATTTCCAGCAACACAAGACAGCCTAAATACTTAATATATCTAAATTTCTAAATATTACATGACTCATTAATTAATTTTTTATAACTCCGCTTCTGCTTCCACCATCGATCACATTTGAATCAACATGTGATATTATTTCCTTAAGAAATTCATCTTCATCTACAATTCACCATGCAAGATGATAATGCAAAATACTTGATTTTTAATTTTTTAAAATATTTATTCATAAAATATTTACAAAAATAAAACACTATTAAAAATATATATAAAAATATTTTAAAATATTAATAGCCCACGGGTTGGCCTCTGAGGCTTGCGGGTTGGGCCTAAGAGGCCAACGGGCCAAAAGGGGCGGGCTAAAAAACCTCGTTCGTAAATGGGCCAAAAGCCCAACCCCACATATTTCAAGGGTTGAGTTGGGCCGGCCTCGCGGGCCAAGCCCATTTTGACGGCTCTAATTACCACAATGATGAGTATTATAATTTTGTTCATCCACACCCTTATTCATACATTCAATCACTTGTCATCTTTCATATTTATTATTTACTATTACCAAATTCGTATGATAGAATGGAGCAGTTGAGCAAATTTCAAACTTATCATATACTGCTACCACATTCGATTTAGATAATGGAGCAAATTCAACGAGACAAATTTCATTTCATCAAAAATATATTATTTTTTCTTAGTCATCATTTTATCATCACTATGGTGCATTGACTCAAACTCAATGTCTTACCATATAAGGCATGTAACGCCATCAAGGACTTGAACCCAATCATGATGCATCAAAACTCAAATTGATGTCATACCCTCTTGGTGCGATAGAACATTAATCTATCGTCTTACCCTCAAACATTTTCATTATGGTGCATCCAGACTCTAACCTGATGTCTTACCCGTTTGGTGCGATGAGACTTGAATCCACCGTCTTACCCTTGACCAACAGTATAATAGACCGAAGTACAACATGACTTAGCTTTTGAATTTTTTAAAACAATTAAAATAATATTCAAACTCATGCTATTAAAAATTTATAGCTTTTTCCATATTAGAAATTTTGTATAGCATGTCATATTTAACCAATAGTAGTATTGTTAGTGACTGAATACTATTTTATTCTAAATCATAAAAATATTTTAAAAAATACATACCTGATTTTATGCAAATAATACCTTGATTCTCATAACGAGATCAACCAAAACATGAGTTAAAGAAAAACTAAACTCACTCTCATTTGGCTAGAGACTAGTGCTGATAACGTATTATAAAGAAAGTTCAAAATATTATAATAATAAGAAGAAGACAAGAAGTATAAGTTAGAGGAGAGAACTTTTCTTATTCAATTGTGTCTTTCATACGGTGAGTGATTCTCTATTTATAGTGTTGAGATATCACTCTAAAAGTCATCTAATTAATAGCTACATAGTTATCTTGGAATTTCTTATCACCATGGAAGCACGTATACATAAATTCAATTACTAGTAGATAAATCTAATGAATAATCCACATATACTACACAATAAATTTATAATAAAATGATAATTATAAGACTTTTTATTATTACAACACAATAAATTTAATGATGCAATCTAAAAAAATTTAAATAACAATTATAAAATATATAAATATTTTATTTGAATTAACAAAATATCACACGATACAATAACTTAACCACTAACAACCATTGAAACAAGTTGTTAGGTCTAGTCTCATTCTGACACATTAATAATGAAAAAAAAGGCTTTTTATAATAAACATATCTATTCAATATTTAAATATCTATATTAATTTAATTAAATTAAAATTTACATAAAACATTTCATATTAATTAGTAAAACAATACTGACTAAAGCACTTTACAATTAAAAGAACTCAAATCCAAATCTTTAATTTTAAAAAAATATTTATTATTTTCTCACAAATTTAATTAATAATAGTAATAGGAAATGTTATAGCATAAAGCTGTTAATTATTGAAACAAAAGTGATTAAACTTGTAGTGGTCCCTACAATTGACTTAAGTCAGCTTCGACCAATTCAAACATCTATTTTCTCTACACTATACGGCCTAGTATTCACATTTAAATAATATTTTTTCCTACGTAATTTGATGTGATATTTAAAAATAATTTTTAAGTATATATATAATTATAAATATATTCATTCCATTATAATATTGAAAATTTCTTCGAGGAGCATATTTTGTACGGCTCATTATGAAGGAAAATGTTTATATATCTAAATTAGACAAAGAAATATTAAAAATTATAATCACGTAGAGTTAAAATATCATTATAAATTTTTCAAAAATCATTATTATATCCTATCGAAAACTTATAAGAGAGGCCAATAAATAAATAAATAATAATAATAATAATAGCACAAGGGATGCTGGATCTCATGAAATAAAACAGATATTTTAAAAGAAAAATATTTAGAAGTTAATTCAATACTAAATTATGTGTATTATAAAATTGTACTAGACTTAAAGCAGACAAAAAGAGAAAAGGGAGCACTTTTAGATTAGTTTTAATTTGAAACTTATTATAGGACCTCTGAATATTGACAATTAATTTGGAACTTATTATAGGACCTCTGAATATTGACAATGACAGCAGAATGACATTTTTTCACTTTTAATTTATATCAATATGATATAGTTTAACTAAATATAGAATTTAAAAGTAACAAAAAAGATTTTTAAAATTTATAATTTAAGATAGATTAAAAATATAGTATAATTATAAATCATTTTGCTAAAAGTAAATAGACATTTTAAATCTGACTATAAAAAAATGTAAGTCATATACATTAAAACAGAAAAAAATAAATTATTTTCTTATAAAGACTGCCTTTTATTTTGGTTCAATAAATATGTAAACAATATTATTCAAAAAGTATACATTTGCATGTAGCAATGAAAAGAAATATCAATGAAAAATGTTTCTTATAAAATTTATTTATTTTTTTTAAATATTTTCTTTTAAATTTTGATCAGTTTAATTTATAGACCTAATACAATGCATTTGGCATATTTATATAATTTTCAAGAATCTTTAAGTACTGTTTATTTTATCAAAATATCAAATGGTATTTTCATGTAACATATCATGAATTTTTTTTCATCATATCATTAAAGAAATTATGAAACACTGGCTGCTAAACTGTATTATCTGTTGTAAACGTTTACATTGATAATAAAATGAGATAGTAATCAAGAAAATAATAATTACCAACTAAATCTAAAATGAAATTGACTTAAATATAAAGTTGAGCGCAAACATGGATTATAATATAGTAATAATACTGCTTTATTTTTAATTAGAAATTTCAAATTTAAATTATTAAAAAAATTAAAAATATAATCCCTAAATTAATCCCGAATTTAATAAAAACTCTTATGCAGATTCCGAATGAAAACCAAACATAAAAATATTAATAATACAAGATAAATATATAATTAATTGGACGGAGGCAAAATATAGTTACTAAGAAAGAGGTTCTTCACCTTTTTTTTTTTTTGACAAATTAAATGTCTAATAAGAAGACTAAGTCAATACTGAAAATTAATTCCTTCATCCAGAAGGTGAAGAAAAACACTATTGAGAAATATAAAAATTTATCTTTTGTAGTCAATTTTGAGGAGTAATTACATGACTTTACTTTCCATATTCACCATTACTTGGGGAACTATAAAAATTAATCAATAATATAATACGAAGAATTAATAACACATATATAATTGTGTATTTTCGATAAGTAAAATAATTCATTTATATCTACTATATATAGAATAAATAATTAATAGTGTTAGCTATTAAGTAAAGATCCTTAATATTTGTTTGACTTATGACAGCTGGAAGTAGAATAGTTTGCACGATAATTATTCTAGAAGCAGTTAAAAGGTTAGAAGGTTGTTACCAGTAGTTAGCATAGTAGCTTTCTTTTATATAGACATAGCAATGTAAAGAATTTTTTAGTGGCTTTCAGATTAATGAGAATAAGTATCCTTGTACATAATTTTCTGTATCTTCTTCTTTTTTATTCTTTGCATCTCCTTGATAGTGATTACTCCATAAGTTTTCATGGTATCAGAGCGTGAGTGTTCGAGCAGGAGTTCTCACCAATTGTTGATTGTTTAGCTGTGTAGAGGTTGATTGTGGATGTTAATTGCTTATTACTATATTTTTAGAAGTTTCGATTTGTAATCCATGGCGGTTGATGTATCCAATGAGGCAGCAGTTGCTCCATCTCATTCAATCGAGATTGATCATTATCATCCCCTGTATCTGCATCCATCAGATACATCAGGTAGCTTTTTGGTTTCGATTCAACTAACTGGTCCTGAAAATTATGCTATCTGGAGTAGATCTATGCGTCTAGCTTTACTAGGAAAAAGTAAGGTTGGTTTTGTTGATGGAAAGCATGCCAGAGAAGCATTTCTTTCATTTCTTCATGATCTATGGGAGAAGTGTAATGCCATTGTTCTCTCATGGATCATCAATTCAATCAGGAAGGAACTCTTGAGCTGTGTGATTTATGCCTTAAATGCATCAATCACATTTCTTTCATCTCTTCATGATCCATGGGAGAAGTGTAATGCCATTGTTCTCTCATGGATCATCAATTCAATCAGGAAGGAACTCTTGAGCAGTGTGATTTATGCCTTAAATGCATCAATCACATTTCTTTCATCTCTTCATGATCCATGGGAGAAGTGTAATGCCATTGTTCTCTCATGGATCATCAATTCAATCAGGAAGGAACTCTTAAACAGTGTGATTTATGCCTTAAATGCATCAAAAGTTTGGAGTAATCTAAAGGAAAGGTTTGATAAGGTTGATGGAACGCGCATTCGTTTTTTACACAAGGAGATTCACTCTATGTCACAAGGTACATCCACTGTTTCTGACTATTTTTCTAGGTTGCGTGAATGCTGGGACAAATTTGATGCCATAATGTCTTGCCCAAGTTGTAACTGTCCTGAATCTAGGAAGTACATGCAACATTTTGATTATCAACGTTTACTTCAGTTTCTCACTGGTCTGAATGAGTCATATGCCCCCAGTAGGAGTCAAATTCTGATGATGACTCCTACTCCCACTATCAATCAAGCTTATTTTATGGTGATCTCAGAGGAAAGCCAAAGATCTCTTGGAAAATCAGTTCAAAATCTTAATATTATTGAAGGAGCTGCATTTTATACAAGCAAAGGAAATTTTAAGCCTAATTCCGGAGGAAGTGGAGTACAATTTAGGCCATCTACTGGTCAAGGTCATCCTGATCATAATAGGTCTGGTTTCTACATAGATTCTAGTTCTAACTCTGGGCCGAGCAACTCAGGCAATGCCTCAAGCTCTAGCTCTTAGCACTGGAAAAATAGTCATCTGCAGTGTGATTATTGTCATTACTCTGGTCATACAAGCGATCGATGTTACCAACTACATGGATATCCTCCAAATTATAGATAAAACTTAAAGAAGTTTAACTCTCACTCAACTTCATCATCAGGACATGGAAATGCTGCTAATTTTGTTAATGAACATGAGACTCCATCAGATATGGATGGATATGCAGTTAACTTTAGTAATGCATTGGGTACATCTTCTCAGAGTTCTCATCCCAGTGCTCCATATTTTACTCCTGAGCAATACAATTAAATTCTGCAAATGATTGGACAGAACAGTGAGACTAGTGGTACTGCTTTATCTGCATGTATGATTAATTACTCTAACAAATGGATAGTAGACGCAAGAGCAACCAATCATATGGTCAGTGATCCGCATCTACTATCCAACACTAAAACTCTTATTAATACAAGCAAAGGCAATGTTATGTTACCTACTGAAAACACAACTAGAGTGAGTCACTTAGGTTCTTCTAAAGTTTTGGGACGAAACGACATACATAATGTGATGTATACACCTGATTTCAAACATAACTTGCTATCTGTGTCCAAAAACTTACCAAGGAATTGAACTGCTTAGTCCATTTTTAATCATGATTTCTGTTTTTTTTCAGGATCTCTTAAGTGGAAACGTGAAAGGGATTGTTAATCATGTTCAAGGTCTATATGTCGTGGATTCTCCTTACATGAATGCAGGAAGTGTCAAACCTGAGTGCATCTACACTAAGTTCCATTCTGCCTTAGTAGAAAATTCAAAGAATAAAGTAGGCATAGATTTATGACATAGACGATTGGGTCATGCTCTATTACATACTTTGAAGTAGTTGAACAACTTGAATTGCTGTGTTGACAATGTAGACTTTGATCACAAACATTGTATTGTATGCCCTTTGGCTAAGCAAACGAGAATTCCTTTCCCTCTGAGTACTTCACAGTCTGATGCTTGCTTTCATATTGTTCATGGTGATGTCTGGGGTCCCTATCAGGTACCTACTTATGATGGGAAAAGGTATTTTTTAAATATTGGTGGGTGATTATTCTAGGTATACCTTGATATTTTTGTTGAATTCCAAGTCAGAAGTTATAGTTGTCCTGGCTGAATTTTTGCTCATGATAAAAAATGTCCATTCTGCAGTCGTTAAAATTTTGAGAACTAACAATGGTTGTGAGTTTTTTAATTCTCAAGTTTCCAGTTTACTCAAATGCTTAGGGGTAGTGCATCAGAGTTTTTGTGTTTATACTCCTCAACAAAATGGAGTTGTTGAAAGAAGGCATAGATACATTTTAGACACTGCTCGAGCTATTAGATTTCAAGCAAGTGTTCCTCTCAGGTTTTGTGGAGATTGTGTGGCCAATGCAGTGTATCTGGTCAATAGGTTTCCCTCTCATACTCTTCATGGTAAAGTACCAGTTGAGATTCTCTTTAAGACCTCAACAGATTTATCTCACTTAAAGGTTTTTGGTTGTCTTGGTTATGTAACTTCCTTGAAGAAGTCAGGCAAATTTGCACCTAGGGCTGTTTCAGCTGTTTTCCTTGGTTATTCTTTAACTCGAAAAGGCCGCAAGATGTTTTTTTCATGAGGAAAATCATTTACGATCAATCGAGATGTAGTGTTTAAGGAAGATGTATTTTTTTCAACACTTGTCCACTACATTTCCTCCTATATTTTCTCGTCCTTTGTGTTCCACACAATACTGTCCAGTTGAGTCTATATATGTTCGTCATGATCATGATTCTCCTCCACATGCTCTTGAAGTTAATCCTTCCATACCACTTCAAGATGCTCTTGTGTCTGTGTCTACTTCAGTTGAGCCAGTTAGAAAGTCCAATAGAATTCCTAAACCTCCCAATTGGATGAAAGACTATATTTATCCTACAAGAACAAATGTCTCTTGTCATTTTCCTATTTCCAATTATGTGAACTATGATCAGATCTCTGGCTCTTATATTTCAGCATTGGCAGCTTACTCAACTATTTTGGAGCCTACTTCTTATTCTGAAGCTTCTTCAGATCCTAAATGGATTGCAGCCATGCAGTCTCAGATTGCTGCTTTGATGGATAATAGCACATGGAGTATAGTATATCTACCTTCAGGTAAGTCTCCAATTGGGTGCAAGTGGGTGTACAAAATCAAACACAAAGCTAATGGGAAGGTTGAACGATATAAGACACGGTTGGTTGCTAAAGGGTTTAATCAAAAAGAGGGGCTAGACTATACTGGAACTTTTTCTCCAATTTCTAAGACGGTGATTGTCCAGTCTGTTGTGGCCCTTCCTGCAGCTAAGAAGTGGTTTATCTACCAAATGGATGTGCACAATGCATTCCTTCAAGGTGATATCCTTGAATAGGTTTACATGACAATTCCTCAAGGGTTTGGCAGCCACAGGGGAATGATAAAGTGTATAGATTGCACTAATCTCTTTATGGTCTGAAAGAAGCACCTAGGCAGTGGAACAAGAAACTTACTGAGGCCTTATTACAACTTGGTTTTAAACAAAGTCATTTTGACTATTCATTATTGACCAAAAGGACTGGAATTCATCTAGTTGTGGTCTTAGTATATGTAGATAATCTCTTGGTGACTGGCAGCTGTCCTAAGTTCATTTTGTAGACAAGGAATGATCTCAAGTTGAAGTTTAAGATGAAAGACCTGGGTCAGTTAAAGTTCTTTTTGGGCATGGAGTTTGCTAGATCACAAGAGGGAATTCATATAAGCCAAAGAAGTATGCTTTAGAGTTGATATCAGAAATGGGACTTGGAGGTGCTAAACCTGCTAACTAACCTCTAGAAGCCAATGTCAAGCTGACCTCTTTTTGAGTAAGACAGTCATATAAAAGGAGAAAAAAAATAAAATTCAGTGATCAATTATGAGAAGATGTTGGTCCATATCAGAAACTAATTGGAAGACTCTTGTATCTACCAATGACTAGAGTGGACATATCTTATGTTGTGCAGGTGTTGAGTCAATTTATGCACAAGCCTAAGCAATCTCATATGGAGGCAGCTCTAAGGGTGGTCCAATATGTCAAAGCTGAACCAGGTTTTGGACTGTTAATGCCTTCAGAAAGCTCACGCAAACTAGTAACCTATTGTGACTCTTATTGGGGTGGATGTCTTGAGTATAGGAGATCAGTTACAGGGTACACTATGAAGTTTAGTGATGCCTTAATATCCTGGAAATCCAAGAAATAGGAGACAGTAGCAAGGAGCTCTGCAGAAGCTGAGTTCAGAGCCATGGCATCTAAAGTTGCTGAAATAACCTGGCTGGAAGGTTTGTACAAAGAGCTAGGAGTTGATATCAAACAACCTATACAGTTGTTTTGTGATAGCAAAGTTGCAATTCAAATTGCTGCTAATCCAATATTTCATAGAAGAACTAAACATATTGACATTGACTGTTATTTGTAAGAGAAAATATTGTTCAACGACTGATTCAAACACTGCATGTATCGACAAAGGAATAACTGTCTGATCTGCTCACTAAGAGCTTGGGAAGACTGTAGAGTTAGTTTGCACGATAATTATTCTAGAAGCAGTTAGAAGGTTAGAAGGTTGTAAGAGGTAGTTAGCACAATAGCTTTCTTTTATGTAGACATAGCAATGTAAAGATTTTTTTAATGGCTTTCAGATTAATGAGAATTAGTTCTCCTTCTACATAATTCTCTGTATCTTCTTTTTTCTGATTCTTTGCATCTCCTTGATGGTGATTACTTCATAAGTTTTCACTTAAACATCAACGCTAAAAAAAGAGACGTGATAGAGTAGTAAATACTTCTCCATTCATAATTAGAGATTTTGAGTTTGAAGTTTTTAGATACAATGTTATTTTTATTAGGAAACAATTTACTTTTAATATGAAATTTTTGATGCAAATTTAATTTTAATCAATTTCAAATATAAATATCGAATATCAAGTCAAAAATAAAAAAAATACCCTTCATTATTTTGTTGGCATAACACCACGTTTATGGTTTAAAGTGCTCCACATGTGTGATGTTTATGACTCATCAGCGCCACATCAACATGCAACATATTAAAAATACAATTTATGAAAATTGAATTTTTTTCCCTTTTTTCCATGCTACCACAAACTTAAATTACCATTTAATTACGATTTTTCCCAAAATATATTTAATTGTATGAATATTTTTTCATATAAGCATAAATTAAATTAAACCCTTTATGTAATTGTAGCTTCTTTTGCCACCTTCCTAGGTTGGGACAGTGATGGTAAATTGAATACTTCTTATTAAGAATATAAATTAAAAATTTATATATATATATATATATATATATATATATATATATATATTTTTTTTTTTTAAAATTTTTTATAAAAAATTCTGATTTCACCAAAAAAAACAAAAGTGATACAAAGCCTGAGTATATTTTCCATTTCCTTTAATTTCTCAATAGAATTATCTTATTCGTGGTACTTGTAGAAATAGTACATTAAAAAAAGAAAAGAAAAAGTAACACTTCTAGTATACTCTATTTGTTTTAGAAATTTCAAACACAGTACGAGATGACTAATTTTTTATTTTTGTTTTGAAAATAATTGTGTTCAGAAAATTAAATAATAGACAATTTTTCAAATGCACATGAGAATAATTTGAATATTAATTTATTTATGTTTTTAGCCAGCACTTTTTGAATTTGTTATATATTCCCCAACTTGTAGTTTACTAGTAGTATTTTTATAATAATCCCACTTAGATACAACAATTAAAAAGTGTAAGAAATAAATAAATGTATCACTGAAAATTATCTCTTCATAGTTGCATATGCAAATTTAATCATTGAATATAGAATTTATTTCCTTTTATATTTTAGAAGACATAATTGTTTTGATTCAAGAATTGATAAACACGTTAAGATGAATTATATAAGTAAAATAAGTAGACGTACATAGTTTATTTATTACTATCTGCTTTAATCTTCAAAGTAGTGTAAAGCCCCTTTTTTTTTAAAAAAGAATATATTATTCGTTCTTTAATTTATCGATATAATCCGCTTATTATGCATTATTTTTTTAGCTCTTAGGGATAATGTATAAGTACCCCTCAATCTATGCTCGAAATTTTAGAGATACACTTATATTATATTAAGGTCCTATTATCCCCTGAACTTATTTTGTTAATAATTTTCTACCCGTTTTCAACCTACATCACACTATCTTGTGGGTTCAATGTTGGTTGACTTTTTTTCAAGTTAGTACCACATAGGCCTAAAAGGGGTAGAAAATTACTTATAAAATAAGTTCAGAGGGTAATAAGACCTTATAATATAAGTGTATCTCTGTGATTTCGGAAATAGATTGAGGGGATACTTGTGCACTTTCCTTAATTTTTATTATGAGTCTTTATTACAACCACATATATGTCTTTAAGTTACTTGGTAGCTATGCCTCTCAATTTTGGGTGTATACAATAGATACTTAAATTTGAATAGAATTAAATAAATAAATACACATGTCTTAGTTATCGTCCTACGTAGCAATTCACATCCTATGAAGCATCATATGTGTACTATATCACGCAGGGGCAGACTCACCCTCAGGCAAGGAGTGTTTCGTCAGAAAATTACATTATATATTGAGGTCAAATTTAGTATAATAAATATATATACACATAAGTATTAACACTTCTTGGCACAAGTTAAAGTTTAAGTTTAATGATTAAGATGTGAAAATTTCTTGAGGTTGTGTTTTAGTCGAATTAGCCTCATTTTATATTGTTTACTATAATATTGATCCCCCTTAATGACAATCCTGAATTCGCTATCAAGTAGCTTAAATTAAAAAGTATATATTTATATATTATGTCAAAAATAATGAACTATTTTCTTTGTCCTTATTTACTCGTTCATTTTTTACTTGACACACCAATTAAGATTATAACAATTGACATAGTGAGTTTACCATTTAACCCTTATTAATTGATAGAATTTCCAAAATCAATTTACTCATTAAACGGGTTATGCCTTTTTTTAAAAACATTAACTCTCAAATAAATTAAGGACATAACAAATAAAAAATATTATCATAATTTGTTAAAAATGACGTGTAAAAAAAATAATAGGAGTAATATTTTGAAATCAAAGACATAATACATAAGCATGACCTTCAAGTTGGCTGACCAACTTACATAAAATCAAACAAATAGACACGTTCGTCCTACGTGACATCTTACATGACAATTGTGATCTACGAGTATTTATCATATACAACATGTATACTTACTTTTTAATTTTATATCAATTCAAGTATCTATATTCATACTTCTAATTAAATAAAATATAATTATTCACTAAAATTAAGTTAAGAATCTTATTCATATATCACGCCAAAATTAAATAGAAATGCAAAATGGGGTCCAAATGGTACGCACACGAAACAAATAGAAATACTATTAAATGAAGTTAAAAGATGGTGTAGGTTAATAAACAATTATATAAAAGACTCATTCCGCGTTCTCCGTGTCGGCATTTTAACGAAACATCCCAAAAACGGCACCTTTCACTTCCCTCACATTTAATATTTAATATGTATTCTTCTTCTTTTTATATATATTCACACTTATTTTTATTTATATTTTGACTTTCACACTTTGATTTATCACTAGTATCAACTTTTGTTTTGTTGCCCCACTTGTTTGTTTTTTTAAGAAGAAAAAAATCATATATGGACCGACTCTTTATTTGGCGGGCGTTTCTTTTCTTAATAATTAAAAAACATTGTTTTTAATTTTGTCAACTTGTTGTGTTTATATATAAGAACTACAAACACACATTTACATTATTATAATTCTAATCTAATAGTTCATTGTTCTTGTCAACTTTTGCAAAAATAAACATTTCATATATACAAATATACATGTGTAATATTGTTCACTACAAGGTGGCGAATTCGAATGATAACAGGAGTAGTAGACAAGACGATGAAGGGATTAATGTGTTTAATACGATGTTTCAAGGGAATATTAATAGAGAAGAAGAAATGTCTGTTATGGTTTCTGCATTAACTCGTGTTGTTGTTGGTAATCATCCTAGTGAAAATATCGAAAATCATCATCAAAATAATACATTGATTTCTAGGGGTGTTGGAGAAAAAAGAGGACGTGATGAAGTATTATTACATGGAACTAATTCTTCTCATATGATATTATCATCAGGTAATTTTATTTTTCTTTCCCTTGATAAGTAATGATCGATGTAAATATAAGATAGTTACGAACTCAAGAGTAAATTTAAACTCCTTATTTTGTGGTTTATTCATTTAGCTATAGCTTAACTTTGACTAATTCAGATTTCGGAAAATCTCAAGTAATCAATCTTTTTATTTATGATG